GCGGATTTCCGCCGACGAACGAGGCGGCACCGCCCGCATTTGGGGGAGGGCACCTCCCTCGATCCATGTTTGCGCGCCCCCGATCTGTGACGCCGCCTCACCTCTGGCCGGCCGGCCTCGTGCAGGCCTCCGCCTGCACAGCTCCCGAAGCCAACCTCGCGCCACGGCACTCTTCACCGCCTCGGCCCCCAAGGCGCACCAAGTCGCGCCGTCGGCGGGCTCGGCTAAGACAACAGCACAGACACTACGTGGCCACATGAACCACCACAACAACGACAGCCACCAAGGCCTGCAGGGGCACCCTTCGCCTCGCCTCAAGCCCGCACCCGTCCTCACTGCCAGTACATGCGCCGTCGCCCGCGCCCTTCCTGCGCGCCTCACGCTTCACCTCCGGCCACCCTTCCAGCAAACCGCGAGGGGGGAGGGTCTCCGAGGAGGAAAAGGCACCCATACCACTACACTCCCCTCGTTTTACCGTTTTTGGGCCTCCTGGGCCTCCGTCGTCGCCACCGCTGGATTCACGTCGAAATCTTGGTCAGAACGCACCCAAGGAGAGGTCCAAGGAGTAGCGGTATCGTACCTTTTGGTGTCCCTATCCTCATCCTCTCCTCCTGCCCTCGGCCTCCTGTCAGATCCGCCTGGGGCCTCCCCCGCTTGCGGGTCCTCTCCTGCGCAGCGTCGCAGCCCACGTGCAGGGTCGAGACCGACTTGGCCATCGCCGCCACGACGCCCTGTGCCGTCTCGTCGGCTTCCCACAGGTGCCGGTGGAATGCGCCGCTGTTCCACCTTCCCCACCTCTTCACCACCTCGGTGTCCCCGTAGTGGTGATACAGCGCCGTGGCGCCTCCGTTCCTCAGGGAGTGGGAGCCGAAGTGTGAGGCCGGACAGCCCTCTGCCTCTGCTGCCCGCTGGAGCTCCTCTTGGACCCTTTGCCGCGACACCCCGCTGCCATCGGCCCACCGCGCCCAACGGGAGGTGTGCCTCCCTGCCTCCTCCCATCCTCACCGGGAAGTGCCTCTGGTGCTGCTCGGCCGCCAGGTAGTGGTTCCTTCCTCGCCATGCCCGCGCCCTCCGGGTCCGTCGTGCTCGAGGAGTGGAGGGATGGAGGGAGTGGTAGGAATGGAGGGAGGGAGGATGAGGATGAGGATGAGGATGAGGATGAGTTTGCGGATCATGACGATGAGGATGATGGTGACGATGAGGATGTTGCTGCTGCTGCTGATGATGATCATCATCATCATGCTGCTGATGATGATGACGATGATGATGACGAGGATGATGATGATGATGATGATGATGATGATGATGATGATGATGATGATGATGATGATGCTGATGATGATGATGCTTATGATGACGATGATGACGATGACGATGACGATGATGATGATGATGATGATGATGAAGCCCCCGAGGGCTCCAGGGTTTACCATGAGGGGCAACCACTCACCCTACATACCATTTGCGCCCAACAAATGATGATAATGATAGCAATGGTGATGATGCTGATGACGATGCTGACGACGATGATACTGACGATGCTGAGGAGGAGGAGGAGAAAGAAGAGGAGGATCGTGATGTTGATGTTGATGTTGATGATGATGATGTTGATGATGATGCTGATGCTGATGATGCTGATGCTGTTGATGATGCTGCTGCTGATGATGATGATGACGATGATGACGACGATGATGATGATGATGAAAATGAAGATGAAGATGATGATGATGATGATGATGATGATGATGATGATGATGATGATGATGATGATGATGATGATGATGATGATGATGATGATGATGATGATGATGATGATGATGATGATGATGATGATGATGATGATGATGATGATGATGATGATGATGATGATGATGATGATGATGATGATGATGATGATGATGATGATGATGATGATGATGATGAGAGTGCGGGCACAGTAATGATCTAGCTATCGCACAGTTGTGTCGTTTACGATCGTTTACCTCTTGCCATTAAGGGTCATGCTGCTCAGGAGCGGCCCTGCCGATGGTCCCGCGCGGCGGCGCGGGCGCGGCCTCGGCGGTGTTGGTGCTGGAGCTGGCGCAGGTCGCGAGGGACCTGCGGGCGCCGGCGGCGCCACCCTCACCCCCGCCCCCGCCGCTTTTGCCGCCTCCGCCGGCGGCTTCGGCGGACAGCGGCCCGAAGGGGTCGCCAGCGTGGGCGCTTGCCCACTGCGAGGCGGCGCTCGCGGCCTGCGAGAGCTGCCCCGCTACAGACGGGCCCGAGCCCGTGGAGGGGCCGGGGCCCTGGGGGCCGTTGATCGCGCTGCTGGCGACGCAGCTGGCACAGGCGGTCGCGGCTGGGTGCTGGCGCCGTCGACCACGGGCGACCGCGGCGACCGCGGGCGCGCGCGGCAGGATGCCGCCGCGCCCAGGTCCGTCACGACGGCTGCCCCTGCGAGGCGCGGTGGCGGGGTGGTTGCGTGAGGCTCGACCGGGCGAGAGAGTCCGCGTCGCCTATGTGGATGACGACGTGGACCACGAGCGCGTGCTCGTCTGGCCGGTGTCGGAGGCGTTGTGGTACGTGATGTCGCCAGATCGGGCGGGATGTCTGGGTCGAGGACCTGACAGCGACGGATCACCCCACGGGGCCCTGCTGCTGCTGGCCGCTTGCGGGTGGTGTTCACCGCACGGCGCCGCAGCGGCCGTACGGCTTCAAGGAGCTGCCCGACGCCGATGAGCTGGGCACGCAGATGACCGAGTGCCGTCGCACCGCGTCGCTGGAACCGGGCTTCGTGGAGAGGCCGCTTCCGACCGAGGTCGAGGTCGGCGGGGCCCTCCACGTGCTGGACTGCGGGGCGGGTCTCGAACTCAAACTCGGTGATCTTCCGCAGGAGCTCCGAACTCACCAGGTCCCGAGGTACAAATAGGCGCATGCAACACGGCACCCTTGGAGAAGCGGACGGACAGCAATTCGTAAGCTAATTATCCCAGGCGTTCACCACCCAGACACGAGTGGCGCTCAAGCCGAGCACAGCGCGGTGCTGGTCCAGCCCCTGGGCGCTCGGATCGCCCCCCCGCGCGCGGCCCGACGCGCGGCGCTTGAGCCAAAATGGCTTGAGCCGAAATGGCTACGGAGGATAATTGTGATGATATCAATGGTGTTCGAATATGTTGATGGTGATGTTGATGATGACGATGTTGGTAGTGGTGGTGATGAGGATGATGATGATGATGATGGTGGGGGTGGTGATCGTGAGGATGGCGATGATGCTGATGATGATGATGATTATGATGCTGATGATGATGATGATGATTATGATGATGATGATGATGATGATGATGATGATGATGATGATGATGATGGCGAGGTGATGTTTGTGATTATTCTGATGATGCCGTGACAACGGAATCGATAATGGTAATAGTGCTCGTGATGGTGATGATGATGGTGATGCTGAATCATGGTGATGATTGTTATTACGATGGTGGTGATGCTCATGGTGCTGATGCTGCTGCTGATGATAATGATGATGATGATTATGAATATGATGATGGTGATGGTGATGGTGGTGGTGGTGAAGATGAAGATGATGCTGGTGATGCTGCTGGTGATGAGATAATTATGATCATGGTGGTTGTGCTAATAGTGGTGCTGCTGGTGATGATGATCATGGTGGTGATGATGATGATGATGCTGCTGATAATTGTGATGATCATGGCTTTGGTGATGATGATGATGATGCTGATGCTGATGCTGATGCTGATGCTGATGCTGATGATGCTGATGCTGATGCTGATGCTGATGCTGATGCTGCTGATGATGATGATGATGATGATGATGCTGATGCTGATGCTGATGATGATCATGGTGATGGTGATGATGATGGTGATGGTGATGGTGATGGTGATGTTGAGGAGGATGCGGGATGGGCGAGGAGGGACTCAAGGACGCAGGGGAGGCAAGCCACCAAACCCCGCCAGGCGCCTTCGCCCACATCTCCGATCGCGGAGGATGAGGCAGACGTCCCCGTGATGGCCGCGGTCCGCCCTGTGTCCGCCACGCGGTCTCCGACGCGCGACGGGGCGGCGCCCAGCGAGGTGCCGACGCACCTGACACAGCCGAGGCTCGAGCGGCGGCCGGCGCGCCGTCGTCGCCGCCGCAGCCGCCGCCGTCGTGCTGCTGGCGCCGTCGCCGTCGCCACTGCCGCAACCGCCGTCGCCGCTGCCGTCGTCGGTCGTCCTCGTCCTCGTCCTCGTCCTCGTCGTCTGTGTATTCCTCGTCCTGCTGCGCTCGGCTCGCACGGGAAGAGGTGAAGGAGGAGGAGGAGGAGGAGGAGGAGGAGGGGGAGGAGGAGGATGGAGGAGGAAGAGGGGGCGAGGAGGGAGGACGGGCATGACGGGAGGAGGGGAAAAGTGAGGAGGGAGGAGAAACGAGTTCGGAGGAGAAGGAGGAGGAGGAGGAGGAGGACAGGACGAGGATAGGGAGGATACGGGGCAGTCTCCGTGGGGCCTCAGGAGGGCTTCTGCCGCCTGGTCGGTGTCGCCCTGGTGGCCGTATCCTCGTCACGGTGGGCCCCCCTTTCCTGGCCTCTGGCCTCTGGCCCGTCTGCCTGCCGGCGCATTCCTTCTTTTTTTCCCTTCGCCTTTCCCCCCCCCCGAATCCTCCTCCCTCGCCCTCGTCGCTCCTGCTCTCTGCCCGCTTCCCGCCCGCCCTGTCCCCCCGGCCCTGGCCTCCCACCTGCGCCTTCGGCGCCGCGTGCCTGCTAGCCCCTCCCTCCTTTCCGCCCATGTTCGGCCACGCGCAGAGGGGGGGGGGAGGGGGGAAGGCTTCTTGGAAGCACCCCTGCTTCTCAGAAGGCGCGGGCCTTGTCTGTAGATGTAGGGCCGGCGCCTTCTGAGAAGCAGCCTCCTTCTGAAAAGCCTTCCCCCCTCCCCCTGCCCCCCTGTGCGAGCCGCCAGCGTGTGCTCGGGCAGCACAGCTTGCCGGCAGCATGCGGCGTCTCCCAAATTTGCTGCTGCTTGCACACTTGGACCCCTCTTGGGCGTCTCTTGGGGGTCTGTTGGCGGTCCCGGAGCCCACCTTGGGGGAAAGGGCTCCAAACGGTCAGTTTGAGTTCTCCTTCTTCGGCCCATTTTGGGGCTGTCTTGGAGCCCTCTTGGGTGACTCGGGAGCCGTCTTGGGTTGATCTTGAGAGCCTCTTGCTTGTGCCGTTTTGGGCGCTCTTTAGACCGAAACGCCGAATCTATGGAGATACGGCAACACATCCGGCCGGCCCCCAGGACCCCAGAGGGCTCCATGATGAACCCTAAGACCATCTTACAGCACGTTGGGGAGCAGTGTCCCAAATTGCACTCCCAGGGCACCTGGAAAAGTCACGCGGCGACGCCCAAGAGTACCCAGGAGCGCCCAGAACCGGGCCCGATGCCCCTTGAAGAGCGCTTGCAACACGCAGTAACGAACTCGAAGGGGCCTGAGGACACTATCCAGTGCCTACGGCACGGTTCGGCCACGCGCAGAGGAAGGTAGGGGAAAGGGGGAAGCCTTCTTAGAAGCATCCCAGGGGAAGGGTAGAGGAAGGCCTTCTTAGAATGTGCGGGCCTTGTCTGTAGATGTAGGGCCCGCGCCTTCTAAGAAGCGGCCTCCTCCGAAGAAGCCTCCCCCCTCCCCCTGCCCCCCTATGCGTGCCGCCAAACGGTGGCGGATCTGCTCTGCTACGCTGATTAGGCGCCGGCGCAGAGCCACGCCCCATCCGTCATCGCTTGGGCGCCGCGGTGTGGCCGCGTGTGTGTGTGTGTGTGTGTGTGTGTGCGTGCGTGTGTGCGTGTGTGTGTGTGTGTGTGCGTGTGTGTGCGTGTGCGTGCGTGTGCGCCCTCCGGTGCCTCGCAGGTCCTGTATCTCGGCGCTTCTTCTCGCCCCGCCTGCTGGGCCTTTCCCAGCTACCCCCCGGCCCCTCTCCTGAAGTGGTCCTCTCCGCTGCTCAGTCGCCTGGAAGGTCAGCTGATCTCGGCTCTCGGCAGCCTCGCTGTGCTGCCCAGCCCCAGCGCCGGCTGTGCCTTTTCCCCTGCCCCGCGCGGCTGCCTCTGGCTGCTGCGGGCCCGGCTTCCGTCTCCCTCCTGCCCGCACTGGGCCTGCCTTCCCCTCCTTCCCACGCGCATCTCGGCTTAATTCGCACTTGTATGCCCTACAGCTGCCCCATCCGCCAGTGCAGTCACTCTTCCTAGCTGCCGACGTTAAAATTGTGTGTGTGTGTGTGTTTGTGTGTGTGTGTGCGCATGACGGGCTCTACAACAAGCCATGACACCAGGTGACCCGGTACCCTACCTGGAACCACCGAGACAATGCGAGGAAGGACTGGAGAGCGGTGATCAACCGCCTCAAGAAAGAACGTGGCCCCATGTTCACCCTCAGGTGGAGCGCCATCTGTGACCAGGAGTCTGGACCCCACTCCGCCAAAAACCCACAGCGCCACAACCCTCAGTTCTGCCAAGGTTTCGTAATGACCTGGGCGAGGTAAAATACGACGTGTGCAGACTCTGCTGGAAGAAAGGCGTACAAGTAGATTGGCACGCTGAGTGATATCGCGAATTTGACAAGTGGAGACAAATCTCTGAACTCGCGAACGGCAAAGGGAGGGTTGCTCCGCCGCACGGGAAAGGGAAACGGCCAGCGGACTCTTCGCCTAGCAACGACCCTTCCCGCCAGCGCGGGTCAGCTTCCAGCAGCCACCGCTGGTAGCGCTCAGCCAGCCAGCCTCGTCATGTATTGAGCGTGTCATCCCCGCCATGGCAGTGGCCTCTCTGGCCGCTGCCCTCCCCTCCTTGCCTTCGTGGCTTTCTCACATCGTGCACCTATTCGGTGCCCCCCCGCAGGCCCCCAGCCCTCGCCGGTGGCCTGCCCGCCGCCCTCTCCTCCCTGCCTTCGTGGCTGCTTTTCATCGTGCACCTGTTCGGTGCCCCCCCACCGCAAGCCTCTAGCCGCTCGAGGTTTGCCTTCCTCCCACGCCCATGCGTGGGGCCCGCCAGCGCCTGAGCCGGCGCTTGGTCGGGTCCCATCGTTGCCGCCCTCTCCGGGTTGGCCGTGTCACAGCAGGCTGGTGTTGCCACCCGCTTGTGACCGACCTTCGGGCCACCCCTGCCGCCCGCCTTGGGGTGCCCTGCTCCGCCGCTGCCCCCTGCCTCTTGGGGCGCCGGCCTTCTGCAGGTTTTGTCCAGGCCCTGCCTGCGGCACCCCTCTGGCCCTTGCCGTGCTTCGCTGGCCGGGCGACACTAGCTTCGGTGCCTGTGTCCCCCCCTTTCTGCTTGGTTTTCTGGCCGCCTCCCCAGCGCCGGCTACCGGTGTCTGGCCGCTTGTCGTTCCTTTGACACGTCGCTCTTGTCGGTTGCTCCTCAGTTGGCTCTCTGCCTCTGGGTTCACCCGCTCGCCCACTTGGCTTGCCGCCCTCCATTGGGCGTGGCTTTCCTGCCCGCCGCCAGCTGGCGTTCGGGTTCGTCGCCCTTCCCCCCCCGTCGGTCTGCCTGCCTTGGTCCGCCGCTCCCCCACTTGGCGGTGCCCTACTCCTTCTTTGCCCTGGGTACCGCCCCGCGCCCCGCCGGGCTGTCCCTCATTCCGCGCTGTCCTTGCTCTGCCTGATCTCGGCGCTCTCCACCGCTGCCGATGTCGGGGTTCCTTCCCGTCGGCGCGGGTCGAGGTTCTGGGCGATCGTCTTTCCCGCCCTTCCGCTGCCTTTCTTTGGCCGCTCTCGTCCTGCTCTGCCTGAGCGGTGCCACCCTGGCACTCCGCCCCTCACGCCCGCGCCTCGCAGGACCACAGGTCTCGGCGCTGTGACTAATCCTTGGACCGCGCCTTGGTCCACTGGGTCAGGCACCTCTTCCATGGCTGCCTTTCCTCTGCTACTGTTCTGTGCCGCTCGGCACCTGCTTCAGCCACATCCAGCCTTGTGCCCTCCAGCATCCGCCCTTGTGCCCGCGGCGCAGTGCCTGCAGCTGCGGCTCGTCCTGGCCTTCCCCATGTCCTCGCACGCGCCTCGCAGGCCCGCCGGCCTCGGCGCATCGGCGCATCCCTGGACTGTGCTTGGTCCATCGGATTGGGCTACGCTTCGTTTTCTCTTGACCCCCTGCTGCGTTGCCCCCCCCAGTTTCAGTTCAGCGCAACTCAGTACAGCCTTTGCCGGCGCTGCTCGCTTCCCCGGCGCTCCCCCCGCCGCAGCCGGCAGTTCTGAGTGGCCCGGGTTCCTCTCTTCCCGTCGTCGCGCCGGGGCTCCTCCTCCTCCGTCCGTGCATTGCGGCCCTAATTTGCATACAGCGTGCCCCCTGTTGCCTATCCGCCGGAGCAGTCGCCCTCTCTCTGCCCAGCCGCCCACGCAAAAAGTGTGTGTGTGTGTGTGTGTGTGTGTGTGTGTGTGTGTGTGTGTGTGTGTGTGTGTGTGTGTGTGTGTGTGCGCATGGCGCCGCCGGTTCCGACAGCGGCGCCGCCGCCTCGAAGTTGCGGGCTGCCTGTCGCGAGTTGCCCCGGGGGGTCCAGATTCTGCCTCTCCTTTTCCTCCTCAGGGCCGCAGCTCAGGCGCCACATTCAGGAGAGGTCTCCAAAGGCTTCTGGAGCTCTCCGGAAGCCCCGGGAGGTATCCAGAGGTCTCCGGATGCCTCGACAGGCCCCCAGGGACCCAAATAACCCAACTAAGGATGGAGGAAGAGGAGGAGGAGCAGCAGGAGGAGGAGAAGGAACATTTTTTCTTCGGCAACACGTAAATTGTATTCAACACCCTGATGCGGAAAAAGTCAGAAGATACAACTCATACGTATGGAGATCTTCGTATAGCCCAGCAAACGGAATGTCCTGTCAGGGTATAGGTCGAGGCTGGAACGAAACATGTGGAATGGACGAGGTCAGCGAAGGTGAAGCGTGCTATATAGATCTGTGCTGGGCGAACCCGGCCGAAACAGGGAGTGTATCTGCTGGGCGAACCCGGCCGAAACAGGGAGTAACGCCAGGGCCTAAGGCATGACAAAAATGGACAAAGAAACCATGAAACCGACGAGCAAGAGAAGGAACCCCAGGATGGGGGGAAACACAGATGGCGAGGAAGTTGGGAAGGCGACGAACACCTCGCTCGTCGGTTCAGCTAGGAAGTGATTTCCAGAAAAGAAACCAAATTGATACTGCAGTAGTGCTGGCGGGCAAGTGGTGGGATTCCAGTATCTACCAACTCAAGTACCGCATTGCAGATGCTGTCAGCGTCGGCGCTGGACTCGCGACACACATGGCAGACTTCACTGCGTCTACGCCGACCCGTGCTCGTAGGCTTTCGTAGATCTGCCGACAAGCACCGCCATTGACAGGAAAGTTGCCGCACGACAAGCAGAGAGTCCACTTGGAGTAGCACGCGTCGCGCTGGGTGCTGAAGCGCGTCGTGGGCAGCAAGACGGAACCTACCATATTCTGCCGCATTGTTCGTGGCGTCCGCCAAAAGCTTGCCGCATGATTCAGCCGCATGATGCAACTACGCGTCGCGTGCCCGCCTGGTAGCGCACGCAGTCGCAGGATGAAGCGCGATCAGAGGAGGAGGAGGAGGAGGAGGAGGAGGAGGAGGAAGAGGAGGAGGAGGAGGGGGGGGGGGGAGGAGGAGGAGGAGGAGGAGGAGGAGGAGGAGGAGGAGGAGGAGAGGAGGAGGACGAGGACGAGGACGAGGAGGACGAGGAGGAGGAGGGGAGGAAAAGGAGAGGAGGAGGAGGGGAGGAGGGGGAGGAGGGGAGGAGGGGGAGGAGGAGGAGGAGGGGGAGGAGGACGAGGAGGAGGAGGAGGAGACAGGAGGAGGAGGCGGAGGAGCAGGAGGAAGATGAAGATGAGGAGGAGCAGGAGGAAGCGAAGGAGGCATAGGAGGAGAACGACGCAGGAGGAGGAGGAGGAGGAATAGGAGGAGGCGCAGAAAGTTTCTCTCGGCTTCCCCTGCGTCGTGCTTTCCCCTGTTGCCGCGCGGCGCGCAGGCCCACAGAGACCCGGTCGCTGCCCACGGCGTCGGCAGGACCCTGCCGCTTCCGCCTCCTCGCCACTTGTCTGTCCGCCCTGCCCTCTTCGCCCCGCGCTGCCTGCCCCAGCTCCTGTGCGTGCGCCCTCTCCTCCCCTGCCGCCCGTCCCCCTCCCTGTCCTGCTCCCCTCTGCTCCTCCTGTCCTTCCCCTGCTTCCTCTCGATCTTCCTCTCCTCCCTCCCTCCCCCTGCTGCCTCCTCGTCCTCGGGTCCCCACCCCCTCCCCCTCTCAACCCGCCCCCTCCTTCTCCCCTCTGCTCCCCCTGCCCACCCCCGCCCGCCTCGCTTCCCTCCCCCCCGTCCCTTACCTACCCCCTCCCCTCCCCTACGCGCCCGTTCCCCTCTCCCACCCAGCTCCCTTCCCCGAGGGTGATGGCAATGATAACGAGGAGGAGAAGAATTTCTATAAGGAGAAAGGCGATTATGATGACGATGATGATGGTGGTGATGATGATGGTGTTGATGATGATGATGACGATGCTGATGATGATGATGCTGATGGTGATGCTGGCGATGATGATGGTGATGATGATACTGGTGATGATGGTGGTGATGATGCTGGTGATGTTGTTTAAGATGATTATGAGGATGCGGATGCTGATATTGATTATGGTGATGTTGATACTGATGATCATGATGGTGATGATGATGATGATGCTGATGATGCTGCTTGTGATGATGATGCTGATGGTGATGGTGATGGTGATGGTGATGGTGATGGTGATGATTGTGGTGATGATGATTATGATGCTGTTGCTGATGCCGATGATGATGCTGATGATGCTGCGGCTGCTGCTGCTGATCACGATGTCGATGATGTTGCTGTTGATGATGACGACGGCGATGCTGATGACGATGATGGTGATACTACAGGTTATTTTGATGGTGGTGATGATACTGATGCTGCTGATGATGCTGTTGTTACTGCTGCTGATGCTGATGCTGATGGTGATGGTGATGGTGATGATGATGCTGATGGTGGTGATGATGCTGATGACGATGCTGCGTGTGATGATGATCACGATGACGATGACAATGACGATGATGATGATGCTGATCATGTTGATTATGATGATGGTGGTGGTGATGATGATGCTGATGATGACGCTGTTGATGCTGATGCTGATGCTGATGTTGATGATGATGATGATGATGATGATGATGATGATGATGATGATGATGATGAGGCGGAGGATGATGATGATGATGATGGTGATGACGATGATGATGAAGACGATGAAGACGATGACTACGATGGCGACGACGACGGCGGCGGCGAGGAGCATGATGAGGAGGAGGAGAAAGAGAAGAAGGAAGAGGAGGAATCAAATTAGCCAGGTCCAGCGAGTTAGAGGCCCCCCCCATCTCGACCCTCCACTCCATAACATAAGAATCAAGTTTTGCGCTTCCTGATATCGAGATTGGAATGCGTTCACACCTAGGGAGCAGACGGCGCCTGCGAGCGGTCCCTCTTCCGACGATTTGGCGTTGTGAAAAGCACGCGGGCCGCGCAGGGGCGGGAGCAGCACAACTTCAGGGGAGCACGACGAAGACGAAACACGCACCGCGCCGGCACAGCATTGCCCCTTTCTAAGTTGCGTGGTGCTGGGGCGAGGAAAGAATTTCGCTTGCTCTCGCACGTCCCCGCTGCCGCTGCCGCCTTCATGCGATTCGGCGAGCGACACGTGCGCCGCGCCCGCGCGGGAGCGCCACTTCCGAGCGACATGCGCGCGGAGGTTGGGCGAGCGAGGGCGACGAGTCGCTTGCCCGCCCAAACACGAGCGAGTGAAAAATATGCTCCGCTCCGAGGCGGGAGCGCCACTTTCAGGCGAAGCCTGCGCGGCGCCGAGGCGAGGGCGACGTTTTCGTCCGCACGAAGTGGCGTGCGGAAGGTGTTCCTCGTGCCCCGGCGGAGGCTCGATTGTCTGGAAATCGCGGCGCCGTGGCGAGAGCGAGATTTCGGCCTTTCGCGCGGGATGTGCGCCACGTCCCATTCTTGCCACGCACTTTACAATGTGGACGGGATGCTGTCCATGTTGACAGCGACGCTGTCGACTTTGCATGTCATGCTAGGTGGGATGGACCTTCCAGCTTTGGCTGACCATCGGTCGGCTCGGTGGCACGGTAGGAGCCTGGCAAGAAATACGGATAGTAATCGAGTGGCATGGGGAGGAGGACGAGAAGGAAGGAGTAATGATGAGGAGCGTATGGAGGAGCAGGGGGCGCGGCAATATCATCACATCATCACCACGGCCACCATCGCAGTTGATTGTGCCATCGCGACCGTCACCCCCACTGGCTTTGATATTACAGCCTTACTGCCCCCCCCCCTGCACGATCTCTGCTGTCCATGCCAGATTCCTGTGGGGCTGTCTCATATGTAATTATTGTCTTATTGCTCGCGCACCCCGAACTCCCGTCCCAATGTCTTTAAATTGGTTTGTCTCGGTCAATGTTACGGCTATTCGCCGCATAGGGAAGAGGAGTGAGGAGGAGGATGAAGAGGGGTAAGGGCGGGGGGAGGAGGAGGAGGAGGAGGAGGAGGAGGAGGAGGAGGAGGAGGAGGGGGAGGAGGAGGAGGAAGAAGAGGAGAAGGAACAGTGAGACGAGGAGGAGGAGGATGAGGAAGAGGAAGGTAACGAGCATGATGATGAAGAGGGGTTTGGAAGGATAAGGAGAAGGAAAGGGCAGGTAGGAAGCAAGGCCCGCACCACCAAGTCAACTACGCAAAGGCAGCAGCTCAAAATATGCCAGTGCAAACTGCATGCGTGTGAAGTCAAACAGAAATGAATGACCAAGCAGCACCCGCTGGTCGACGCCAGTCGGTGCCCGTACCACCAGAACTGCCAGCGCACGTTGAATGAGAATTCATGGACAGGAAAAGACAGGTAGGCAGAAATCAACGTTCCTGTCTCGCAGAGTTCACACAACGTTTGCACGACAAATGAAACTTCAACAAAACACTGGCACAGCGCGCGAATTCGCGAACGAGAGCGGTTTTGGGCGAGTTCAACCCTCAGTTCCCCACGAAGCGCACGGAGAGGCAGAGCCACATTACCAGGACCAGTTCCCCCCCCCAGTCGTTAATGCTCACCCGCTGCCGCCACTACAGGCGAAACCGATGGTAAGGATGGTTTAACCTTCCCAAGGGTACCCCTGCATCCGTATCATTTTGGTCCATCCTTCACCGCTCTCGATGGCCAGTCCCGCTCGAAGAGCTTCAACGCGGGCGTCCAATGGTCTTGTGTCCTTATCGCGCATCCTTAATGTCAGTACCATCACCACCACCACCACCTTCGAAGGAACGAAGGAATGGTCGGTGTGCGCCGGAGCGCGGCCTGCTCGGGCTGCCGGTGCACAGATTCTCACATGCTGGCGAGATCCGGCTTCTCGTGATAAGAAATCCCCCCACAATTCTTAACTGCAGTTTCTTGAATGCTGACGCCATCTGTTTCTTGAATGCTGACGCCATCTGTTCAGCGCCTCAGAGGCCACCATCACCCTCGCCACCTCAAAAGCGACCGCCGCCGCCACCACCGACCCTGCCAGATCAAGGGTGCCCCAGTGTCCTGTGCCTCGCGATCCATGCCTTCTTACATCCCTAGGGCAATGCGGCCCTCGGAAGGGTCTTGTGTCATCTCGCGTGTCCTCAAGCTCGACTGTATCAGCTTTGACTGCACCACTGGAGGGATGAGGAGGAGGAGGAGGAGGAGGAGGAGGAGGAGTAGAGGAGGAGGAGGAGGAGGAGGAGGAGGGAGGAGGGAGGAGGAGGAGGAGGAGGGGGAGGGAGGAGGGAGGAGGGAGGAGGGAGGAGGGAGGAGGGAGGAGGGAGGAGGGAGGAGGGAGGAGGGAGGAGGGAGGAGGAGGAGACCACGCCCGCCACCTCAAGAGCGACCGCCGCCGCCGCCACCACCGCCGTGACCGCTGCCGCTGCTCCAGCCAAGACCACCCCACCGGGCGGCCCCTCCGCAGCCGCCTTAGAGGCTCGAGCGGCCGATGCTCGTCGGCCCCTCCCTGGGGGCGCGCGCCAGCGCGGGGCCTGCGCCCCCGCCGCGCGCTCCGGCCAGCTGGCCCGCGGCTCCGCCCCTCCCTCGCCATGTCGGCTACACGTAGAGCGCTCCAAAACGGGCCTCGCCTTCGAGGATCAGAAGGAGTTGTTGTCTCTTCCTCGGCGGAAGAGCGGCGGAAGGTCGGCGGAAGTAAAACGAGGCCGCCTCCGCCAGCAGAAGCCGGCGGAAGCTCGGCGGAACGCGGCGGAAGTAAAAAATGCGCCCCCAAGAGATGAAAACGCTTTTGGGTTCAGGGTTTTCGAGATCGCCCCGTAAGAGTGATCTTTCGCCGGAGTGACCTTTGGTGCGGGCACACTGTGGGTGGCTGAATATCGATGCGATGACAGCGGCTGGTGCGCTCGGGTTTGGCTTCTCCCCGCGCCCCCGAGAGCCGCACACCGAAGGTCACTCTTGCCTGGAGTCACTCTTCCGTGTAGCCGTCCACGGGGGAAACGGATCCTGAGGGAAGCGGGTCCCGAGGTTTTGTCGCAGTTCTCGGGCTCTCGGGGACTTCTCCCTTAGGATCTGTTTCTCTCTCCTCACTCTCCTTCGTCTTAGGTGCTAGTTATGGGGACCTTCCGTGGGGCCACCGAAGGGATCTGTTGGACTCTAGTTCGACTCTAGCTCGACCCAAGTTCGACTCACATTCCACCCAAGCTTGGCTCAAATGCGGCTTAGGTCGACGGACGTTCAACGCAGCATCGACGCATGAGTGGAGCGAGTGGCTCCAGGAAGGTCACCAGATTTCGAGCGGCGGGATCTCCATATCCACTGCTCCCTGGCCAGGCCCATCCTGAACCTGGGAGCTGTGTATGCGCCCTCCTGGGCAAGCCAGGAGGGCGGGGCGTGCACACCGCTGCTGGGCTCAGGATGGGCCTGGCCAGGGGGCAGTGGACATGGAGAGATCCCGTCGCCCTCGGAGCGAGCATCTCACTCGTCTCCCGCGGT